GTAGGTCTGGAGGCAACTGGAGTTGCAGGTCCTGAAGCAATTTTGCGCCGGAGTCTAGGTCTGAAGCGTGGAGCAAGGTGCCATCATGGAGGACTTGTAGTTTGTAGTACGCCACCCATTTAAAACGAATCTTGGCGTTGATCAATGCCGTGGTTGTGGGTTTCATAGATTTTCGGCGGAGCAGGGTCTCGGCAGACAGATCTTGTAAAATCGAGATTTTGACGTCGTCTAAGAACAAGAAGCCTTTGGGTCTGGCAGTGGTAATAATCTTCGTTTTGGTGCGTGTGTCCAAGAATTTAGCTATTACGTCCCAGGGGAAGTTGCTTTGGTGCGCGCAGGAAGAACCCACTCTGTAGGCAAAATCAATCATGGGCGCCACTCCCTCCTCAAGATCTAGGATTTTCGCCAGTCAAGTTGCTAAAAATATTTTAAGCTCTGTTGTGTTTTCCACGTTCTCAGGGATCCCTCTAAATTTAATATTATTAGCTTTCAATTGATTTTCCAGGGAGATAATTTCATCTGTGGCCCATTCCTCTCTTTTGTAAAAATATGAGGAGTCATCCTGGCGGGCCAAGCTAGCTTCCATCGCTGTTTCAGCGGTCTGAGTCACCTGTGCCATAGATTGCTTAAGTTCATTCAGCTGGGTGGTTAGTGGCTTTAGGAGCGCAGCAATGGTGGTGGACATATTTCTTTCCAGGGCTTGTAAGGAGTTATGGAATTCTTGCCAGGAGACCGTGAGGCCCTGTGGCTGTTGGTCTGAGTTTCAGTTGTTGTTGTTGTTGGTGATGGCAGCGGAGGCTCCTTAGTTGAAGGCCTGGTGGAAGAACTCCATCTTACAGGCTCTGCGGAACTATAAAAGGTCCTGCAGGGCCCTGATCTCTTCTGGGAGCTCATTCCATCAGTGTGGAGCTGCCACCAAGAAGGCACCAGCCCTGGTTGTAGCCAGCCTGGCATCTTTGAGACCTGGGAGGGCCAGTCGGTTTTGACCATAGTGCTCTCTGGGGTAAATATGGGGAAAGGTGGTCCCGTAGGTTTGTTGGACCCTGGCCATTAAGGGCTTGAAGTTGGTATGCTATCGGCAGAACAGTGCAAGGCCTTCAGCACAGGCTGGATGTGCTCCCGCATGGGGAGGCCCATCAAAAGCCTGGCCATAGCATTTTGCACAAGCTGCAGCTTCCGAATTTGTGACAAGGGCAGCCCCATGTAGAGAGCATTACAGTAGTACAGTCTCAAGGTGACCATCACATGGATCACTGTTGCCAAGTCACGGCTGAGGAAGGGAACCAACTGCCTAATCAGCCAAAGATGGTAAAAGGCTGACTTGGCAGTGGCTGCTACCTGGGCCACCATTGTTAAGGAGGCATCCAGGAGTACTCCCAAGCTCCTAGCCTCTGGCACTGGCACCAATGGCGGCCCATCGAAGGTTGGGAGTGGGATCCCTACCCCGGGACTGCCCGGCTCAGGCACAGGACCTCCGACTTCGTCAGATTCGGTTTTAGTCGGCTCAGTCGAAGCCAACCAGCCACAGCTTGTAACGCCTGGTCCAGATCTTCCGGTCTGGAGTCAGACTGGCTGCCCAACAACAGGTAGAGCCGGGTGTCATCCGCATACTGGTGACATCCCATCCCATGCCTCCGGGCAATCTGGGAAAGGGGGCGCATGTAGATGCATATAGCATCGGGGAAAGCACCGCCCCTTGAGGCACTCCACAATCCAATGGGGGGCCTTCAGGACAGCTGTTCCCCTAGTGCCACCCTTTGTCCCCGACCTTGGAGAAAGGAGGCAAGCCATTGTAAGGCAAGCCCCTGGACTCCTATGTCAGCAAGGCAGTGGATCGGTAGCTGATGGTCGACCGTGTCGAATGCTGCCAACAGGTCCAACAGCAACAGTACTGCCAATCCGCCCCGGTCCAGATGCCTCCAGAGGTCAGCCGTGAGGGCGACCAGTGCTGTCTCTGTCCCCTGGCCTGGGTGAAAACCAGACTGGAAGGCATAAGATGGAAGCGTCATCCAGAAAGCTCTGTAGCTGAATTGCCACAGCCCTCTCCATTATTTTGCCCAAATAGGGCGAACTGGAAACTGACTGATAGTTAGCCAATTTGGCCGGATCCAGAGATGGCTTTTTCAGGAGAGGGCGGACCACCGCTTCCTTGAGCGCCCCAGGAAACTGTCCCTTAGTGAGGGCATGGGGCAAGGCAGCATGCGGTAGAAGCATTTTGTCAACTTCCTCCAGGCTGAGTGGACTGAAACAATCCATAACCTGACTCAAAGATGCGCATGGAGCCTCGAATTCGCTCACCGTATCAACTGTGACGGGGAGGTCACAGCAGAGCGACAGGATTTATATGTGAAATAGCTCACAAAAGCCTCCAGCCTATGTCCAGTCCTCGCACAGGGTGGTGGGTGCAGCCACAAAATGGCTGCCACAGGAAGGGGTGCCAGTCACAACATGGCTGCTGTAGCTTACCTTCAGTCATGCAGCGAAGAGCCTCGTGCTGCTGCGGTAGCTGCTGCCAAAGGAATATTTTCAGAAATGTTCACAGTCAATCAGAAACCCTGCTGAGCAAAAGGCCACACCTGGCCCTGCCCACTTTCCAAATACACTTGGAGGGCACCAGAAGGGGTCCTGGAGGGCGCTGTGGCACCCCCATGCAGCACACTGGAGATTCCTGGTGAAGAAGAAGAAGAAGAAGAAGAAGAAGAAGAAGAAGAAGAAGAAGAAGAAGAAGA